ATTTTCAAATTGAAATTTGCCAGATTAGTAATGTTACCTTTGAGACGGTAGTTCAGGAATGATGGCATACGTCAGATAACCTGCTGGGTAACGGTATGTTTAGTCTTTTTTAGTAGCCACTTAGTCACAAACACTGGCCAAAGTTAGCGCTCATATTTGTTTTTGTGTGAAAAAAGCAAAAAACTAATATTTGTCCAGTGTTTGTGACTAAGTGGCTACTAAGAAAGACTGGACATACCCCACTTGCAATACCTTGGGTTGTCTACGTTCGCAAATGGTATGCCATCATGGGGGTAATTCTCATTCCTGGGCTACCATACACCCTCAAAGGCAACATAACCAATCTGGCAAATTTCAATGTAAAAAAAATTAAATGCAAGCCTTATATGTGAATCTCTAACTTTTCAAAACACAATAAAATCTGTACATGGGGGGTATTGTTATTCTCGGGAGACTTCACTAAACACAAATATTAGTGTTTTAAAACAGTAACACATATTACAACAATAATATAGTCCACAAAAGTGCCATTTGTTTGTAAAAAATGCAAAAAACTGCACTTTTACTTAAAATATCATCGTTGTAATACAATTTACCAGTTTGAAACACTAATATTTGAATTCAGCGAAGTCACCCGAGTAACAGTACCTCCTATGTACAGGTTTTATGGTGTCTTGGAGAGTTACAGGGTCAAATGTAGTGCTTGTGAATTAAATTCTCCGCACTTTCTCCCTGTGTTGTCAGGCATGTCAATCAAATTTTAATTAATCAAATCACATAATTATGTTAAAAGATTACTTAAATATACACGTAAAATTTTAATATATATGCATTTATAGGTATTTAAATTCTACGTGTATACTAATGTGATCTTTTATGTAATTATATGTATTTATCTCTATACATATATATTTGCGGTTATTTGTATTTTATATATAGATAGATAGATATAGAATGTCATTCTAAGTGTATTTTGTTACCAATATATATATATTAATAACAAAATACAGTTAGAATGAAATTACATATGAATATCATTTTAATAAAATTTTGTTTCAATATTTTATGTATATTTTATTATTTTATTTATTTATTATTGTAATGATACGTATATATATATATATAATATATAGCATTTTGTAGACCATCTTTACCTCAGCTTACTACTCTCTTGTCAGTTCACCACACATTTCATTTGTCCGTTTCACATACATCTCCAGCAGCACGCATTTTTTATTTTTGTTACATATTTAGTCTATTCAGATCACATAGACTTTTTTGATACAGTTCTTCTTTTTTCCATTTCATACACTATCGTACATCTCACACATTTGACTTCTTTGCAATTCTCCACACATTCACTGAGCTTTTTTTCATTTGTCGTATTTTTTTTCTTCTCTTTATTCAGCATGCATACACACATTAACCTGTTCTGGTTAACCTTTGGCTAACCCGTTTTCATTCATACTGCTGTCTTTAACATTCCACACTCATATACATTTAAGACCATGTAATCAGACTTTATTTCTTTTTCCTCCATACATGCTTTTAATTTTACTCTGATTTTTTTCTCTTTTAAAACAACTTTGCCGTTTCTAGGCAACACTTGGTGGCTGTGCTTTATGTCACTTTTCGTCAGTATGCTTGACAGTGCTCGGTTTGCGACTCTATTCACAGAGCAGACCGGACAAACAGGGTGCACTTGGTGATTGGGTAAGTTTAACACATTAGATTGTATATATTTGAGATTTTCACATGTCATAGCATCTTGATAAAGACCGCTAGATGGTCGAAACGTTGATTTATATGCGTTTGATTTAATATATTTTTTTGTTTACTTAATCCAATGAGTGCTCTCAATTTGTTCCATTTGTATATTTTGCATGGAGAGGCACCTGGTCATTGCTGAATTAATGCTTTTGCTATGGGATGAGTGCCAGAAACTATTGTGATTTTTATATATATATATATATATATATACTGAGGCCGTGTCCTCATAGTAACTTATACCAAGAGCAGTGGCGGCTCTAGACTTGGCGAGGCCTCAGGCGAAACTCATACATGAGGCCCCCACTAACACCATTATTGGAAAAAAACAGCAGTTGACTTGTGTGTGTATAAGAAGCTGTAGATATATTGAAGGGCAGGCTTGCAGTACTGGATATAGAGAACTAGTCTTTGTATACGTCGTTGCATTGTCTACCTGTGTGTGCCTGAGAGTGTGTGTCTGGCAGTGAGTATCTTTGTATATGTATGCATGTTTCTCTGAGCATGTGTATGTTTGTGTTACTGCCTGTGGCCTTTGGCATTAAGTTCATGGCGAAGCTATGTTTTATGACAGTGTGTAGAATGATTGCCTTCAGGGGGTGACAGGGTGAGTAAAGGAGTAACTGTGGCAGGGTGATTGTAAAAAGAGCAGGAGGGTGCCAGAGTGCGGAGAGTGGTGCCCGTGTGTTTAGAGGGAGAGATAGTGTGTATGGAGGGGGGTGACAGTGTGTGCGGAGAGAGGTGACAGAGTGTGTGGGGGTGACATAGTGTAGGGAGGTGGCATAGTGTGAGGGGGTGGCATAGTGTGAGGGGATGGCATAGTAAGAAGGGGGTGACAGTGTGAGAGGGTTACATTAGTGTTAGGGGGTGACAGAGTAAGAGGGGGGTGACAGAGTAAGAGGGGGTGACAGTATTAGGGGGTGATGGTGTGTGGGGAGTGACAGGGTGGGGAGTGACAGGGTGGGTGATAGAGTGAGGGGGTGACAGGTGAGGTAGCAGGGTGAGAGGGGGTGACAGGTGGGGTGGCAGGGTGAGTGACAGGGTCAAATGTGGGGTGAGAGGGGAGGCAGGGTGAGGGGGTGACAGGTGGGGTGACAGTGTGACGTGGGGTGACAGTGTGTGGGGAGTGACAGGGTGAGGTGAGAGTAAGGGGGGTGACAGTGTGGGAGTCACAGGGTGGGTGACAGGGTGAGAGGTGGGGTGGCAGGGTGAGATGTGGGGTGAGGGGGGTGACTGGGTGAGAAGGGGTGGCAGGGTGAGGGGGTGACAGGTGGGGTGGCAGGCTGAGAGGGGGTGACAGGGTGAGGGGGTGGCAGAGTGAGAGGGAGTGAGGGATGACAGGTGGGGTGGAAGGGGGATGACAGAATGAGAGGTGGGGTGACAGGGTGAGGGAGTGACAGGGTGAGAGGGAGGTGACAGGGTGAGGTGACAGAGTGAGAGGGGAATGACAGGGCAAGGTGACAGGATGAGAGGTGGGGTAACAGGGTGAGAGGTGGGGTGGCAGGGTGAGGGGGTGGCAGGGTGAGGGGGTGGCAAAGTGAGGGGGTGGCAAAGTGAGAGGGAGTGAGGGATGACAGGTGGGTGGAAGGGGGATGACAGAATGAGAGGTGGGGTGACAGGGTGAGAGGGAGGTGACAGGGTGTGACAGGTGGGGTGGCAGGGGG